AGGCTGAGGGGAGACCTGATTACGGCCTATAGATACTTGAGAAAAGATGGTGGGGAGGTGGGGGAAGGGCTCTTTACATTAGTGATGGGTGATAGAACAAGAGGAAATGGGTATAAGCTTAGTCAGGGGAGATTCAGGTTGGATGTTAGGAAGTATTTCTTCTCTGAAAGGGTTGTCAGCCACTGGAATAGGCTGCCCAGGGAGGTGGTTGAGTCCCCATCCCTGGATGTGTTTAAGAATAGGGTGGATGATCTACTTGAGGATATGGTTTAATGGGGATTAGGGATGGTTGGACTCGATGATCTCTAAGGTCTTTTCCAACCTAGAAATCTATGAATCTATGAATCTATGAATCTTTCCTACGCACCTCAGTACTTTAAAAGCCACTTTCTGTGTTGAGACGAATACTCCAGACTAGTCCCATTATAACTTCCTGTACAAGAAAGGTGAAAGCAAGAACAGGAGCGGGATTGCAATGTTTGATGGATATTCTAAATGATTACTTTTTAAAATCTAAATTATTACTTTTTGTTTTTTATTTTGTTTAACTATAGCATTGACTAGCAGAGAGAGTTGCACTGTATTGAAACACGAATTTTCTTTTAGTTACAGCATTCTGCAGTGAGTCATCCCCTCCTTTAATAGCAGCAGGGGATACAGCAAAATCCCCCCACCAAGTCCCAAGCAACAGCGCTGAAGAAACTACAAGTAACTATGAAAGGCAGAAGCAGAAAGTAGACAAGGGGGCACAAACAACAATCAGCAAACACTTGCCGCAAGTGACTGAACAGCTGGATACAAAACAAAATATAAAAAGTGCCCAAATTTCCATCACCTCATCATCCTCCTCACCTTTTTCCTCCTCTTCTTCCTCCTCTGCACCTACTACTCATAACTCCTTCATCCTACAGACCTCTCAATGCTTCATGACCAAAGCATCAAAACAGCCTCCCATAGTTTTCCTGCCCAAACTGGTTTACGACATTATTACTTCTACGGACAGCAGTGGACTTCCTAAGTCATCTTCCCTCTTGCCTTATCATTCTGTTATGTGGGCAAGTTCTTTTCGTCCTCTTATGAGTAAGATGATGACTTGCACGGAGCAGTCTCTATACTACCGCCAATGGACGGTTCCCAAGCCAATCCATATGGACTACAACAATAGAAATGAGGGCAGAATGGACACCTTTCACCCAAGGAGGCTGCTGCTGAGTGGGCCACCACAGGTGTGTAATAAGAACAAGGTATTATCATTGATTTATTTTGTTTAATTTCATCATAAGCTCTGAAAAAATAGGTTAGATACTATTCATACTTGAAGGTGTTTTTTTTTTTGGTGGAGAGTAAGATCCTTATATTTTATTTCCTAACCTTTTCTAATAAAATAGTCTCCCTTTCTTTGCTGTTAGCCCGAGTTCAAAGACAACGAAGCTGCAGCAATGTTCATTTTCTGTCAGTCTCTCTCCATTAAAATGTTTTAAAAGATAGTTTGCTCAAGAGATAGATTTCATGTATAATTTCAGTTTGTTAAAGTTGAATATGCATTTACATTTTAAATAAAGATCAAAGATCTTCACAAAACCACTTTCTTATGATCAATCTGAACACAGCTGAGAGTTTGTAATTATTTTCTCTGTTTCCTCCATGCAGCAGACAGAAATAGAAGCTGTTGTAAATAATACATGCAAGAAAGGCAGTTCAACATTAGCAGAGCCATATTTACAAGATGAGTAGCTGACCCAAGAGTTTTTAAATTACTTTGAAAAAATATATGGAAATGGGTATAATCCTAAGCAGTTCTTTCTCTTCTAAATTCTCTAAAAATGTTTAACACTTGTCTCTGAGCAAGTCATCTCCTAGTTCAATGCATGTGTTACATGCTAAGGTAATATTGTGCCTTTCGTTTTCTGCTGAAGTACAAAGTAACAAGATAGGAAGAGACATCATGCCTACAGAGACCATACATATGTACTGATGAACCTCAGAAGTCAAAAAGGATAACTCAAAACCAAGACAAAGACCCATGTTTCCAGTTATTGTAACATTGACCCGAAGAATTAATCTAAAGAGAGTTACTGATTTAACTTGCCACATGATCCACTCTTCTATGCCCATCCATTGCAAAAGGGAACTACCTATTGCTATTTGTTAAATGATTGTATTCCATTGTACACCCAAATTTATGGTGTAGTAGAGTAGAACGAGCATAAATGGGCTTTTCATATTGGGACTTCTTGCAAATGTTACTGTAGCTCATAGAGGATTCCAGAAAGAACTCTGATGAGCAGTTTTTCACTGCCCACCCCTTTGATCTAAATCATTCACGTTTGCCAAAGATGGAGGTATTATGTGTTCAAGAAACTGAATTTCATACTCAGCTGCAGCATCAAAACGAATACGTTCTGGAAGAGAGATGATGTTCGTTTCCATTTTTCAAAGAAAAACACAGGCCGTGACAATTTTGTTAGAATTTTAAATGCATATGCATCAAACCCCACAAAGATACTTTTCCCAAAGCCACCCTAAATATCCAGATTAGCCAATAAGTAAATGCTTCTTTGGTATTCATTTGGTTATGGATCACAAATGTAAATCTGTGATTCTCAGAAGAGTCATTCAGAGACTCCCGAGAGCATACTACACACCCGTGAGAAGGTTTTGATGCTTGGTATTTGCCATTTAACTAATTGTAGTTCAACAGGCAGCTTATTTATTCGTCGGCTTCGTTCCAGGGTGTGGTATTCACCACTTTTCACTATCAATCAAACCTTTTTTTTTTAAATATTGAATAGGACTCCTGTTGACCTTCTGTACAACAGTGAATTTCAGCCTCGATATCACTACTTTTACTTGAAACACCATCTCTTCTCCAGGTGTCTCCACAATGCAAATTATTTTCTAATGTTGTGTTGGGTCATACAGTTGGATCAATTCTGAAAGGACACTATTCACATGTTTATTCATTTTATATTCCTCAATTCTTTCTGAAGAATATAACTATTTCACACAGAACAAATTCACATGCATCAAACTAGGAATATCATGACTTCTTCCTAAGTATAAAAAATTTAGGGGTATATATTCATTTCAAGCACGTGGAAAAAACCAGCAGCTTTGTTTCCTTCAATCTTTTAACCTCTGAAAGTACTAAAAACTTCTGTAAGCCAAACAAAGATCTGTAAAAGGATGTTGATTGTTTGTTGGCTTAAGGTATAACAATACAGTCTGACTTCTAAGGAACAGTTACAATAAAATATACAGAAATTAGAATTACTGTTCTCTTTTTGGGAAGAAGTAATTTTACTTCCTGAAATAGGTTTCTCTCACATTTGTGTTTGATAATATTAATATTTTACATGGATTTAACGTTTAATGCATAATGACATATAGGCAGAATTAAAAACAATTATTAGACAACACCTATCTGAGTGTTAATAACGTCTCAGCCAAAGTATAAGACTGCCAGAGTGCTATCTTTTCAAAAATTAGGAAGCAGTTGTTTTCTTTGTCAGGCAGCAATTACTTTACTAAAATTCAAATCAGGAAGCAATTTGTTCGTTAAAATGAAAAAGATGATATCAACATAGGAAGAAAACTAGGCACATTAGTGAACCAAAATTATAACTCTCACTGTCAGGGTAATTAGTAATAAAGTACACTCACCCTTCTCTCACAGAGACATTTTACCCTCTATACTCATCAAAATGTTTTACTAGAAGACTTGATGCGTTTTTACAAGGACAATTATATGCATTAGAAAGCAATACATGCATTATGTTTATGAGAGACTTTAGGAATGCAGCAAAAACTGGATAGGTGTAGAATAGATCTGTATCTATTGATCATTGAAGTTAAGCCATTGGTTAGTAAGTATGAATAAATATGCACCACTATGAACAACATGTATCATATCTATGGCTAGAAATCTAGTCCCTAGTGCACCCAAGAAAATACATATACAGAAGCCTAAATTCACTAAAGCATTATTCTCATATTCATCTTCAAAGTCCCTTAACTGCAAATCAAGGTTTTGTGCCTTTGTTTTTTAACTGGATATTACAATTTAGAACCAGCGTTTTCCTTAAGTGTGGAAGCTGCTCGTGATCATGGCTCAGTCCTGTGGCACCACACCCAGGGAATGAAGCAGGCATGTTTTAAGAAACTTTCTGAGGAAGAATACTGCTGCCCATTACAATGGGCTTATATACCATTCAGTTTATGTGAGAAAAATATTAGAGAAATATTTACTATATCTATTGTGAGCTGTGTTTTAGAAGGGTGTAGCAAGCAGAAACAAGAAGAGCCAGCACCATTTGACCAGCTGTCTGTGGACCATCAGCATGTTTTCTATGAATCACCATTGGTTCGCAGACCACAGTTTGAAAACCACTGCTGTGGTATGTGAAGAACATCTAACCTGGAAATGAAAATAGAGAAGCCTTATGGAATTATTTCCCCTTTTGCCATTTTTCTCCAAATGTCAAGATTGAAATCAGATGATACTTTATAGCAACATGTAAGAATAATAAATACTTCTAGTGGTCCTGATGTCTAGTGTCTGGAACAAGTTTTAAAAAGGGAACTCATTACTGTGAGACCTTCTGCAACAGTACCTTTGGATGTCACTTCTGCAAATAAGTGTGGAGACATACATGTAATTTCTCTAATGGAATCTCTCTATCTCAGATTCTTAGACAGAGAGTTTGTTTTCAGTTTATTCTTAATATCTATGGCAAGCACTGTTCAGTGGTCAAAATCTTTGGAGAGCTTTCCACACCTCTTAGGTCATTTATGTTTTTGATACAAAAACTAGACCTTCATAACTTTTGACTTTTCTGCAGGAAGAATTTGAATTCGTATTCCTTCCTCTTACTCAGCTACAGTTACACTCATGAATGATGAGCTGTAGGTAAACATATTCTTAGTTTTTTACAGGCCAAAATACCCCTAGCACTAAAGATGAAAATAGAAACTAAAATACTCGATCTTTGCATGCCCCAAATTCCTTAGCTGTCGTAAGTTTTCACAAGATTTGAGATTTTTACTTCTTGTAAAAACTTCTGGGATTTTCTTCTTCCAAGTCTGATTCATCAGACTTCTGTCTTTCAAATTCAGTTAGATAAAATCAAATTGGAGTAATACTTCTATTATTTATTTGGGAATATTGGCCCCCAAGTGCCTTATCTGTTAAGGCACTGGGCACTTCCACATATTTGAGGAATCTCTTTCTGGGAAGTAGAGCTGCCTGTAGGAGCAGCACCCCTCATGCACATTTTGTTTCAGGAACTGTAGAAATGCAGCCCAGTTCCAAGTTCCTTCATTCTTTTAATCTGTTTGCAGCTTTTGCATGCAGAGCAAAAACAGGATATGGAAAAATGCGCCTTGCTCAGGATACTTTCCTACCAGTCGTCATCACTGTAAATATATTATATTATGCTTAAGCCCAGAGTCACTAATTAGAATCAACACGGCATTGTACTAGACTTCTCTAAAGACATAAAAAGCTACAGCCCAATCAAAATTTCTTTGCAGAGCTTGTTTTGTTGCAGTTGGGAGATGGAGGATGGACAAATATTGGACTTTATGCTTCAAAGTTGTACGTATCCTTCTTGCAGGATCTCTTTGCAGCTACCTACGATGCCCAAACCATCAAAAAGAGGAGTGGTGACAGATGGGGCAAGGACTCTTTGGAGAGATGTGGAAACTCTGTTTGTTGACAGCTATACAGTATTTTCAAACAAAGACAGACACTCTGTGCAGTTCCATTTTGCCTAGAGATGGTACATATAGAAAACAGTAGAATTAGTTTTAAAGGTACATTTACCTGTCTGAGCATGCTACAAATTCAGTTGTTCTAGGTTTTTCCCTTCTGGAGTAAATGTTGACTGTCAATAAGAGGTCATTCTTTTCTCATTTTCTTTTTGAAAATCATATTCTCAAAATTACCTGGAAAAGGTATTCTTTATTTCACCAATTCATTTTTTTCTGCAGCAAATGCAGGCAAATGTGCAAGTGAACGGAATTCAAATATGAACATTGCTATATGCTCAGCCTGATCTCTTTCCTGGCAGAGAAACATTCTAAAAACATGGAGAGATTCCTGCAAGGTCCCACAAGCATTTTACATACAGTGTTGCTAGCAGTTCATAAAGCTCAGAGTACTATATTGGACACTTTTCATGTGACAGATAATGAGATTGGGTAAGATACGATGCATGGAATATCATAAGAACATATATTTTGGTTTAGTGGTTAGGGACTAGCATTTGTAGTCCTGTGGTTTCCAACTTTTTTGACTCATGACCCTAAAGCTTTATGTATACTCGAGTCAATTGACAACTGATGCCTTTCATCTAAGTCACTGCCAGATACATTGTTGAAAACCAGTGGTGAAGACTGGTTCCCCAGGAAAAGAAAAATACATTATTTTCATAGAATATGTTTTAAACAGTTACCAAAAAGAAAAAGTAAGATTTTCAGCCAGTTTTTTGTTGACAATTCTAAGTATATACTTTAAACATATTAGGAATTAGTTTTTCACATAGATGCCTGATATCAAGGGAATAGGTTGTATACTTTTGACAAATGATCTCTCATCAGTTTGAAATCAGGGAACCATTAATCTGACAGGCTACTTTGTGTTTAACGAAATGATGATGAGAAGTACTTTAAAAGAATATGTTCATAAAAGCATATAAAGGTAATCTCAGACTTGAGAGAAAACAGTGAAATTATTTTCTTCTAGAACAAAGTATCATCAGGTTTGCCTCAGATGTAAGAAGATAAGGTGGTTTTGTTTAGCTCACCAATCAATAGCCATTGCAGCCAAGTTTAGAACCTTGTTCCAGGGTCAGTAGAAAGATTCTCATTAGTCTCAGTGGATTTTCCACCAAAACCCAAACTGAGAGAAATATCTGGTCCATGGACTGACTATGGTCTGTGCTATCATTTCCTCTATTCAAAGTCACTTTTTTTCTGTGTTACTCCGGGATAACAGAGAGTTGTGTGCTAATGCATGGTCTACCATGTGTACCTGAAAGGCTTATTTGACCCTCAACAAAAATGGTACTGTTTTCCACCCTTGGCAAGCAACTGTTTACAATGCAGTCTGATTTATTAACAACAGATACTGAACTTTGACCAAAACAAGTGTTTACCTACTCTTGCTTTGGCCTCAAAGCCTCCCTTTCTTAAATGTTAAGAGAAAATGAAAATTTCACTTGATATCTATATGAAAAATAGTAAATTCAGTACTCTGTTGAGTAATTCAACACCCTATGCTTCTGACATGTCCTAGCTGTAATGGCAGTGAAGGCGGGTTTTCAATTTGGTAGTAATACAGACTTTGTCCAAAATCTGACACCACTTTGTGAAATCAGACAATTGGAGCAGAACGTGTCATAACTGATTTACATGTTAACCTCCCTTGTACAGGTGTGACATGAGTCTTAAGTTGTCTACTGGACATCAGTGCCATTCTGAGGCTGAACTATACACACACACACAAGAAATCACAACGTGTTCATTCTCCTGTGAGAGTGACATGAGCTTGCTGGTCTCTCTTTTCTCATTGAAACCCATTGTGTACTGCTTCCTGTTCAAGTGTAGTGGTTTGTGAAGCTGTCTGCTTAGATATGGCATTATTTAGTCGATGTTATCATCAGCAGACTTTATGTGGAAGACACAAAACAATCCATCCAGTAAATCGCTGGCTGTTGCTTATACCTTTCAGCTGAAAAAACTATAAAAGGGCAGCAATACTCTTTGGTGTAATGAAGAGAAAACATACAGAGTGTGTTAGTGGGGTAAAAAAAGAAAGCAGAAAGTTATAATCTTAAGATAATTTTAAAACAGACTTTTAAAAGGTAATTTTAAAACAGTGGAAGGGAAATAATGTATTTTTAGCACAAGAGGTGGAACAACACATTGTTACATGTACCACGTCCTAGAGGAGTGGAAGTGGCTGCACAAATTCTCCTGTAGATGTACGCCACTTTGATCTTCAGGGTAGTCACTGTACTTCACTGGTGGTCAATGTACTGCTAAATTATGCAAATAGGAAAGGGTTGAGATAATTCTTTAGTTATCTTGCAGTCTGAGGAGATCTTCGGAACATTTTATGAGTTTGTATGGAGCTTGTATGTAGAAACTGTAACATCAGGAGAGAAAATTCTCGTCTGTGGGCCTGTAATTAGACCTGTGATATAAAATGCATTTTCCAAGCTAGGTTCCTGTATAGAGAGAACAGAACTGTTGAGCGTTTAAGCGTTTCATTTATGCCAAGGAATACACAAATACAGGGAAGTACCAGCGCTTAATCTTAATATTCGGTTTCACTACAGCTGCAATTTCCAGGTAGGTGGAAAAGTAACGTGTTAAAAAATGAAATTTTACTTTTGTATTTTCTAATTTACATATTTACAGATAGGGAAAACAGGTGCCTACCTGCAGTTCCTCAGTATTTTGTCCCGAATGCTGATTAGACTGACAGAAGTGGATGTTTATGATGAAGAAGAAATCAACATTAGTAAGTTCTTGATATAAAAATATTTGCTTCTGAAGAGTGTAGAAAATTACTGTTAAATTGAAAAGTAGTTGTCTATGTATTCTATGCCATTCACCTTTGCAATCGATTTACATTATTGAAATATTTTAAGAAAATTTTTGTGTGATCTTCAACTGATACTTCAGGATATTTTATTATTTTAGTCATCATTTAGAGTTTAGTCTTCCTCTCAGTAAGTAAACCACATACCTCTGTTTTTCTTGGGAAGTAATTAGCAGCATTTATGTATACTAAATGTTAACCAGCCATTGTTTTTGAGTTTAGAAATAAAATGAACTTTTGTGGTAAAGTACATAAAAAGAACCAGTGAAATTCTGGCAGATTTATACCATGAGAAGCAATGTCATATTTTCTAAGTACATAGGACTACATGAGGGAGGAAAACTGTTCCTGCTCTCTCATAGCTAATTTTAGTCCAAGCTTCCTTTATTTACAGTGCATTAGTCCCCTGTGTTTCCAGATGTATTTCTGTTATTAAAGGCTGGATTATATAGGTTTGTACAAGCAATCCTTTGTATTTTAGGCAGAATTTTAAAGATAACTTCGTCAGGGCAAGTAGAAGGAAGTGTTCAAGGCCAGACTGGATGAGACTTTGAGCAACCTGGTGTAGTGGAGGGTGTCCCTGCCCGTGGAACTAGATGATCTTTGAGGTCCCTTCCAACCCATTCTATGATTCTATGAGATAATTTCATCATCTGACTAGTTCCACCTGAATTTCATATTTACTTTGGATGCCAAAAGACGGAGTCTCACTTCTTGTAATTAACCATGTAGTCTATACTCACAGACATGGAGTTACGGCTCTTCATAGCAGCTTACAGCTGACTCCCACACTGAACTCCTCACTACTGCCCATTTTACTCTTGTCAGATCTTTCATCCTCTTGACAATGACAGAACAGTATTTTGTAAGGACTTGTGCACATCTGGGTTTTTATGTCAGTTAACCTGTTTCAGGAAAAAGCATGATTTCACTGCACGTTATACCAATATCATTTACTATTTTTCTCTTACCCTAGGGTGAATTATTTTTAATTACTCTGGTCTTATCACTAGAAGGAGCATTTGACTTTAACCCTGCACTGTACTTAATACTGCAATTTCTGAAGCTTTAAAAGAGCTTCTTTTCCTCAGTGAGGGTAACGTATCTTTCCTCAACTGGGTTCACAAATGTGGTTTTCAGTGGAAAGACTCCAAATGCCTGGATGCAGGTAGATCAGCCTTACCAGACTCTTGACATTGTTTTCAGCATCATCCCACCAATTACTCCAGTAAGATTACAGAGTTCTTATATTGATAACAAAAGTTTAAAAGCCAAAATTGCATTGAAGTATGAGGTACGAGGTGTGCCTCTTGATGCATAATAATATTGCTCTCTCAGAATGATGAAAGAAAAAATTATGCAGGAATAATAGGCATAGCAAAAACATCTAGAGCAATATAAAGAGCTATCAAAATTGTAATTACATGAATTCTTATTTTTCAATAATATCATAGACATAGAAGAAGAATCTGATCAATACTGTCATCAGACTGGAGATATGTGGCCAGATTTGGAGACATTTAAGAAGATGCCTTTTGACTACACTATCCATGACCCAAAATATGAAGATGCAAGTCTGATTTGTTCAAAGCTTCAGACTATAAACAGTGAAGGTTAGAAACTGAAAAATCTAGCTTGGTACACATAAATGTATTTATTTGTTTTTAATGTGAGAATACTGTTAAACTTCTAAACGTTATCAGAATTGCACTTGACTAAGTAATAGTGAAAAAAGATTTGAAGTTTGCCAGATGAAGCACCAGAGTATGAGCCTTATATATGTTTTATGAAATACTCTATAGATAGTCTTTCATTAAAAAAGCTTGATTCCAAAATAAGTTTGTGTATTTGAATGTTTTTGTGTAGTAGCGTTGTCCTGCTTTGTAGCAATGAAGTGACTTTACTTCTGTGGGTAAATTTATTTATTTGATTAGAAGCGTTTATAGGTTTATTTTTTAGGTTTTGGTTTAAGTTTGGAAAGCATGAGATGCATATGTCCAGATCTAGTTTCCTGGAGTATTGAGGTGTGTATTAGTCCTCCGAATTAGCCAGCTGGACATACACGAGCACATGGGACTGGGTAAGATGTATCCAAGCATGCTGAGGGAGCTGGCCGACATCATTGTAAGGCTACTGTCTACCGTTTTTAAAAGGTATCGACAATTGGTGGAGGTTCCTGATGGTTGGAAAAAGGAAAATGCCATGCCTTCCCTCTAGAGGACAGAAGGATAATCAAAACAATTACAGGCTAGCCAGCCTCCCCTCAGTCTCCTGTAAGCCATGTCGAGACCCATGAAGGACAGGAAAGTGACTGGGAGCAGCTGGAATGGATCTATCTTAGGCAAATTGTGATTGGTAGACATGATGGCATTTCATGGTGAGATGACCGGCACCATAGACAAAGGAAAAGCAGTGGTTTTATCTTGACTTCAGCAAGGCTTTTGTCACCACCTTCTATGATGTCCGTATAGTCAAAACTGGAGAGAGATGGTTTGGATAGGTGGATTGTAAAGTAGGTGGGAAATTGACCAGACCACTGAACTCAAAATGTGGTGAGTGGCACGTTTCTGACTGACAGCTGGGTATGCATGGCAATACTCAGAAATTGAGAGTGAGGCAAACGTTATTTAAGATTACCATTAATAACCTGGTCAAAGGGACAGAATGCAACATCAGCAAGTTCATAGATGATACCAAACTGGGGGAGCAGTCAATAGGCAGGAAGGTAGCACTATCATTAAGAACGACCTTGACAGGCTGGAGAAATGGAACTTCCAGGAAGGAACCTCAGGAACAGGAACCTCATATAGTTCAACAAAGGTAAATGCAAGGTCTTGCACTTGGGATGGAATAATTTTTTGCATCTGTACAAGCTTAGGGCCAGCTGTATAGACAGTAACTTAGAGGAAGGTGACCTGATGATCCTGGTAGACAACAATTTGACCATGAGTCACCAGTTCTCCATTGGGTTAATGGCTTACTAAAAATCTAGCAAGCAGGTCAAGGGAAGCAATTATTCTTCTATGCATGGCACCTGTAAGATCATATCTGGAGTATTCTGTCAAGTTTTTGTCTTCCCCATACAAGAAAGACATTGACATACAGAAGTGAGTCTAGTGAATAGCCACCAAGATGGATTGAGGCCTGAAGCACGTGATGTACATAGAAAATTGAAGAGAATTGGATTGGTTTGTTCTGGAGTCTAGCAGGGGTATCTGATCTTCAACTTCCTAATGAGAATTTATAGACATGACCTATTATAAATACATAGCATAAGGACAAGAGACAATAGACACAAATTGCAACATGGGAAATTACAATTAGATTGTATGAAAAATGTTTCCAGAAAAGTGGTCAAACCATGGAGCAGGTTGCCCGGAGAGACTGTGGAAACTCCACCCTTAGTGATTTTCAAAACTTGACAGGACAACGAACAACTTTGAACAACCTGATCTGATGCTGAAAATCTGAGTGAAAGGTTTGGCCAGAGGACATAACAGAAGTCTTTTTCAGCAGAAATTACATCATCTCATCTTCCTTCAGTCTCCTGCAAAGGAGAGCCTTTTTTACAATGTGGACATTTGCTAAAGAGCAGTATCACTGAATTTGCCAAGTTTGTTCCACATAATGTACTGTGATGTCCGTCACAGGATGGCAAATGTCTGTCATAAGACTTTTTAACTATTTATTACTTTTGCAAGCATTCAACCAGTAATAACAACAGCAACAATAATACTTTTAATGATCTGGTTTTGCTTACACCTTAACCTTATGTGAAATCTGTACAGAATTATCATAATCATGAATTCACAGACATTTCTTTGTAGTTCCTTTTGCTGTACGTAATGACTTATAAAACATGCTTTGCTCAGAATGAACTCATAGTTTGTTTTGCATGTGTTTAATCCTGCCATTGTTCCTAGAAAGTAATTACAGTGACAGAAATGGTTTGTCGCAAAGGAATGCATCCTGGACTTGGATATGTGTTACATTTAAGTTGTTTCTTTTTTTAATAGACAGATCAATGAGCAGGAGACAAGAGGATTTGTATACACGCCGTCAAACAACTAGAATGAGATTGTCCAAGTATGCAGCATATAACACCTACCATCACTGTGAACAGTGTCATCAGTATATGGGTTTCAATCCCAGGTACCAGGTAAAGATTTCCAGATGTTACTCTGCAGATCAGAAACTGAAGCAGACACACCCAAACACAGTTTTGTGTACATTCACTGTATTTGAATTGGATTAGAAGTTTGTATGTGTTAAAACCAGATGATTTATTTACAGATTTTGTTATTTCTTGAGGTTTGCCTGCCTTGGCCACACTGCAGGTTTGGGGACATCAGAGGACTGATCCTTGCTTCATTTCCACTAGCTTGTTCAGTGTTGTAATCTGCATTCTACGTGTATACTACCAGTTAAAACTACTTTCCCAGTAAACTTTTCCCACTGGGAGATGTTTACATTTTCACCTGAGTAACTGCAAAAGATGCTTCTTCTGATACAGGAGCAGGCCAGCGTAGAGTTGTCTGTACGTGGCATGCAGCCTGTTATTACTCAGAGTAACCCTCCCATTTCCTGCCTATTATAATGTGAGAAAGAAGGTATTAACAATGAAAATACCAGTTTTATGTGTCACTATTTCTGAAAGCCCAGAGTGGGCTGTAAGTATCGGTACCATCTGCAACATGAAGCTGAAACAATGGTTTCAAAAGAGGGAACAGTTTAATTTATGTTTTTGGGGGGTATGCTCTAGCCTAGGGGGCATTGCTAAACACCTAGTGAATCATGAGGTAAAATCTAATGCAATACAGTGAGTGATTGTAGTCTGTTTGGTAATGTTATAAATGTGTATTAGCTACACTGAGACTTCATAGTACACTCTAACCACAGGAATTATCCTATTTTTCCCCATCCTCAGCTTTATGAGTCCACTCTGCATGCATTTGCCTTTTCCTATTCTATGCTGGGAGAAGAGATTCAGCTGCATTTTATCATTCCAAAGTCAAAGGAGCATCATTTTGTCTTTAGCCAACCAGGAAGACAATTGGAAAGCATGAGGCTACCACTTGTCACAGATAAGGTAGATGGATAACTGTATTTATGGCCATATATGGGAGAGAGGCACCACCAATTTTAAAATTTGTTGAATTAGGATTCCTTACACTTCTGGCTGTACTGTCAAGAGATAAAGAAGACGTACTGATACTAAGCTTGTATTTTCTCCCAGGAAGGGAGACATGAAGCAAAACTGTCAAGCACAAATAAGCTGTTTCTTTTGCTCATTATCAAGGTTGATGCTTTGGTATAAACACTCTTATCTGCAGCAAAAGGGCTTTGGTTATGGGTTTAATATGCTAAAGTGAGAATGGTTTCAGCAACGAGCCTCAGAGATGTGGTTTTGTTTATCATACAGTTACTAAGAGGAAGCAATTTTTTACTGTAGAGGAAGGCAGTGGATTATCCTGTCTTATTCTGCATAAATGCTTAGTTGCTTTCATATAAAAAGAAGGCTTTCAAAGAATCTTGTCATGGCTTCAAGACTGTCCGAAAAATCACGTCACGCTTGTAGAAAACACTTTATAAGGTCTTCCATCTGACAGGCTATGGACACTCTGATGTTGGCCTTTACAGTGACTCCTAATATCCATGTCTAAGATGAAGCTGTGCCTTGCTCAGGCTACACTGCTTGGAGCACTGAAGCAATTTGTGGAACAGTATTAAGCAGTAGCACTTCTATCCTGGAGAAAATAACCTGCTTCTAGAAATGATAATCAATCTGTACCACCCTCCAGTTTGGACTTTTATATCCAATTCAAGTTTGAAATGGGAGAACCCAGGCAGCAACTCAGCAACAACTGTGCAATGTGAGGATGAAACCTCCTGCTCTTTCTCACCCAGTAAACTTGTGCTTGGCTATGCAATCAGAACTGTGCACTCGGTCCTTGTGGATTCTTTCCCTGTTTCTGCCACTGACCTGCTTTGAGGCTTTGCCGAGACCATTTATTCTTCCTTTGCTTCTTTTTCCATTCACTTGCTCCAAAACGGTGCCTGCAATCTTGCTGCAAGCTTGAAAAGTGCTGTGGGATATAAACTTTGATTATTAAACCGTTATAAAATAATTTTCTTGATCCACTTTAAATTCCCTTCCATGAACTCTGCTGGCACCAAATCCACCATTTTGTGCTTTGGCAGATTTAAATCCAGAGTGCTTAATTGTGATGGATTTGGAGAGTCTCTGTAAAGAGGAATACTTTCATTCTGGGTCCTTAATGACCTTAGTAGGAACCAGGCTAAAATTAGTTGCCCAGACTGGAACAGTCCTGGATGTCTGTAGAAACAGGACTTTCAGAAGCTGTGCTATCAAACTTTGAAGATCTAGTGAGTTTCAATGCATTCAAGATTGGGCGATAGCCAGTCAGAAGGGTTGTACTGCAGTTTTGGAGTAAGGTGTTACTTAACATCTTATGTCATATGGACCTAAATCCTTTTCCAGATCTAGCCTCAAGGTCCCTGTGCACTTGGCAGGTCAAAGTTAGCAGTCCTGTCCAGTCCACTACACTCTCACCAGACAAATAAGCTAAGTGATAGCGTTTTCTTTTTCCCAATTTTTATAAGAGTTGCTAATTTTCCTAGTAAGCTGATTTAAAATGTAGCACTTTGTCCAGTGTCAGTGAATCTGGTTTATTCTCCCAAAGGATCTAGTCCTCTTTGTTTAAACATCCTCCAGCTTAATACAGAAACTCACATTTCTTTTTATTTACAGAGTGAAGATTACATAAAAAGCCCCACTTTTACTCCCACCACTGGACGTCATGAACATGGACTTTTCAATTTATATCATGCAATGGATGGAGCCAGTCATTTGCATGTTTTAGTTGTCAAGGAATATGAAATGGCCATATACAAGAAGTATTGGCCCAACCACATCATGCTTGTTCTTCCAAGCATTTTCAACAGTGCAGGAGTAGGTAAGTATAACGAAAAGTTCTAACAAACGCAGATGCATGACTTGGACCCTTGAGGTGTGGTTACTCAACCGTCAAATGTAGACACACAGCTTGTAGCTAGCGCATCTGATCTGGTGATCTGAATTCTCTTTGAAGAAATGCGTCACAGTGGAAAACGCAATTCACTTAATCCAGGTCACCTAAAACAAGCTAGATGAATCGCGTCCTAGAAATACTTGCTCTCCTCTGTTCATTTTAAAGGGAGCTGAGGGCGTTAACTCAGATGAAGTTACCTGCTTTGTTTCCTCACGGAAATAAGTTATGTACTATTTGCATAGGCAGTGATGAACTGACTAGGTGCATGTCTTTGGTAGGTTCTGGTAACACAACATCTGTGAAATGTTCAACACCTTGCCTTTACTGCTGGAACGACTTACAGACAGCAGTAGTGACAAATGTTCAAAGTAGATCATCTGGGGAAATTTTTCCCTTGTAATTCAGCTGGTCAATCAACATCTCTAAATGTTTGCACTAAGAGATGCTAGTGGAGCCAAATATCTGTCAGGTTAAAAGAATCAGTTGCTAAACTCTTAAGACACTGACAAATCTTTACCACAGAAGTCAGGCTTAATTTTGTGTGTTTTCCAGTAGGGTCCTAGAATTCATTTGCTTGGCAAGTGACAAAGTAAGTTGACTCTGTGGAGTGTTAAGACCTTCAGAGGGATTCATACCCTGGTCTGCAGAAATATTCACTTCAAAAGACTTTCAAGTTAAAAGCAAACAATTTCTGTCTCTACTTTTAATCTGGTGGTTTATGTCCTTGGTTTCAGGTGCGGCACACTTCCTGATAAAAGAATTATCTTATCATAACTTGGAGCTTGAACGAAATCGGCAGGAGGAGCTGGGGATAAAACCCCAGGATATTTGGCCTTTCATTGTCATTTCAGATGACTCCTGTGTTATGTGGAATGCCGTAGAAGTTGATTGTTCAGGAGACAGGAAAAGGTAAATAGAGTGATATATGCTTTTTCAGCTGATCTCTTGTAACCTTCCACTGCACGGCAGTTTTGAAATTACATTTGATACACTGCAACTTTTACCCTGAACAAGCAGAGAATAATATATGCCTAATGAGAGAAGTATTTTCCC